ATCTCCGGTGTGCATTTCTGCTGAATGCAAGGCTAAGCAAACCCAACGCAATGATAATATAAATTTTTTGCGCAAAGAGAAATCATTTCCTTCCTTGCTTCTGACTAATATCGCCTTAATTATGTAAACAACAGACGAAAAGACATTTATCGTTGAAAACGGGAAGAAAATGATTATTAGTCAACTGAAAGGATTCATTCATTCATTCATTGGTATGCAAATTAACCATAATTATCGCCGGATGAAAGGGAACGCATTATTACTATCATCCTATGAGCAACAGCTCTAACCAGTCGATAGATAAATTCTTGATTGCTCTTGAACATTGGAATCGCTTTAAGCTGAAACTAGTTAACATGACATGATTCATATCTAAGCTTTGTTTCAAGGCGAACAAAACTGTTTCTTAAATGCTTTTATTATCGCTTTCTGCGCATACTTGATTGTCATCCATAATAACAACATAATTTTTTTACTCATTGTGTATTGCAATAGCGGTCATTCACCTTCCACCACTCAATTGCGGCTACAATAAAAAAATTATTCCACATAACCGTTTCGTTAAAGTAAAACGTATTTGAAAAAACCCTAGATTTCTTTATTAATTTGCTATCATCAAACTATTTTATAATTCGATGGATACATGTATGCTTGTACGTGCGCTTTATATTATCATTTGTCAAAAAAAAAGGAGGAAAAAAAAAAAAGAAGGCAAATTGAGTAAAAAGAAAAAAGTTATTGAAGCAATTAATTTCAATTGTTGTTTCGTACAATTAATTATTACAAAATTGTCGATGTGTACGTAGATGAGCATGTTTGTACATAAATGATTACATTATTTATTTACCATACAAACTAATAATAATCATTGTGATTACTACAATAGTGATAATTAAATTGTCTCTTTTAGTGAACAATGGTGTTTTTTCGCTTTTACGCTTAGAAAGGGAAATAAAGAGAACAAGTAAGAAAATTATATTCGGCACGGAACGAAGCTTTTATACCCTTTCCTTTAAAAAGGGGGAAAAAATGAAATTTTTTTAATACTCTATAGCAGGGGTTGGCCGCTGGTCAACAAGTGACCCATTTGACAATTGCAAGTGACAAGCTTTAGTTCCGAAAATTGTGTACAATATATAAAAATAAACTATAAAACAGAAACATCAGGGAGGCCATTGATGTCGAAGAGAACGTTTATAAGTAAAGTGCACTCAATTGTGTTCGTAATTATTTTTTTTAATAAAATATATCTTCCTATCTATTAAAAGACCATCTGAACACGAAAATACCTCGTACCCACACGTCTCTTTAATGCATTTTGCACATTTTGGTTGATTTTGATCCGACTCTTCCTCTATAGTATTAGGTGAGTATGGTCGAATTTTGTGGGCAGATATTGTGTGTATCGGATAGGAGTAATGAGAAAAAAAAAACACAATTACTTCGATATTCAAACAAAGATGGTCTTAGTTTACTTAATACATGGGAGTTGTTCTCCGATATGGTCGGCTTTAAATATCAATCTGCGTGCGAGTGTTTTCGAGTTCTTAGCCCAATTTAGCACTGATATCTTTACTTTTGCGGCTGAGAGAATGTTTATCATTCGCGCACAAAGGATCGGCCAGATGGACAGACATGCCTACATGAATTCGGAATTTAATAATAATCAAGAATATGTGCACATCTTAGGGCCGCTGACGTTTTCTCCTGGTTGTTGCAAACGCTTTGATAACATGAATAGATCTGCATCTCTCAGTGATTACTGATTGATGTAACAGTAGTGGAAGAAGGCTACAAATATATTTGTTTGCATAACAAATATGCCAAGATAGGGAATGCACGAATAACTCATCTAGTTTTCTTTGAATTCGTCGTGCCCGAAATACAGTATAAAAGTCTTAGCAATAATGAAGTTATGGAATATTCTGCAGAAAGCTAATGAAAAATATTCATTCACTTTTAAGTAATAATGGTCTGCAACGCTTGCGTGTGATATAAGCTTGATTGTAAGCTTGTGCGGACATATGTCACATCCAGGAAGGCTTAACATAGACCCGCCCTTTAATTGGACCATTCTATTTAAAAAAGCATTTCGGGATCGATTTATGTTTGTCCGTCCGTGCAATTTTGTTTTCAATCTACAGGGTGCAAGATTTGAGATATTATAATCGAACCTATTGGATCCTGCTGAAAATGGATTCGTTTTCCATATACCTTGATGAATTGTTATATTAATTAAAAAAAAAAAATGCAATTTTCAAAAGTCGTCGAGTAATACTATTCCGGTACACTAAATTGGTGCGAAAAACTCGAATCGGATAGACCAATCTCTTCCTCTTTTTCTCTTTATCACGCCTACTCTTACTCTCTAAGTTTTCCCATCAAAAGTAAGCTTTATATAGCAAAAAACTTACGTCTATTCTTCATGCATATTCCATCCCATATAACAGGGCCTTGTCGAAAGAAAGTTTTCAACAAAACACAAAAATTTAACATATAATAAGTTATGACAAAAATAGATGAAGAGGAGTACTACTAAGCTCTAGAACAAGAAATTTAACTCTGGTAAATTTGGACAAAGCTACTTTATCAGTTTTCGCCCTCTTCCAAATGAGGTCTCCTAAAAAAATGTGTGCCTTTACAAGAAAACAATGTGCAATTGTTGGCCATTTATCGAGACAATCAAAATAGATAATCGTATTAGGCTATGTGCTGTAGTGTGCGGTAATGTAATGTATGGCCTTGTCGTTCTATTCGAATGTTTTGAGTTATTATTATGATTCTTATTAATTGCGATTATTGTTGTTTATTAAACAAAATAAACAAAATAAAATGCAACAAATAAAGGGCACTGGCTTCGACTGCCATCAGTGCGAAAAGTAGATATGAATATATTCCTTTGCCCGACTATGCGATTATTTGTCTCTTTACTAAAATTTCTAACGCCTCGTATACAATGCGTTTATTTTGAAAATGGTGTAAGTCATCTCTGAAATAAAATCAAACTAAAGGTAACGTTAAGTACAACATATCGATATCTCCAATTTGAGATGGACGGCTAAAGTGTTTACAAGAGAGATACCGCAGTAACTGATTTACTTTCAAGTATAGACTGAACGCACTAAATACAGAATTTGATAATTTTGGTAGCAATGCTATTAATACTTGTCTTGCGGACAAAACAAATTTTATCACGAGGTTCCACAAAAGTTAATTAATGTTTTGCTCTTTAGCGCTTTCGTACTGCATGTGGGAGGTAACAGCCAACACGAAAAATTGTGAAGCAAAAGTTTCGAGAACTTGAATGCTCGTGTTATTTACGCATAATTGCACGATATTGATTTTTATTACACCCTACATCAGTTGTAGTACAGGGATATATTAAGTTTGTGCGGATGTTTGCAACATCCAGAAAGACTTGAGATAGGCTCGCCTTTCGTCGCAGAAAGTGATTCTAAGTTTATTGGTCCGTCTGTCTGTCTCGTTTCCGTGCGTTCAACGTTAAAAATTCATTGTAAGATCTAAGGTCCAGATTTGCAGAACTGATCGGTTTGTTTTCAAACGAAAGACAAAGATGAAGAAAACTTCAGTAAAATTTTGCGGAATCTACAATGCAATGGCAACACAATACTTGTAGCTTAACTTACAAAACTGAATGAATTTATCTATCAATACGTATGCTGCTACGTTAACTTATTGTGTAACTTAAATAAGTCAATTTACATTTATCGATTTTTATGAACGCTAATATTTGCTTTTCATTAATAAATAAAATTTAACTAAAATTAGTTACATTTCCAATTGTTTGTAAATAGTGTAAAGTACCCAGACGCATATATGATAATTAAAATTTTCAATCCAATTGAAATAAAAAGTCGCCAACTTATCAATTCTATTAAAGAAGAGACATAAGAAAAAAGGGACCATCCCATTTTCCTCAATACTAAGTTGATAACAGAATAGCGATCGCCGTAGAAGCACGAGCAAATATATATATACATAGCCAACTCTTTTTACGCTACGTATATAAGCATAGAAATGAGATATTGATTGAATTTGTTCAAGAAGGACTACTGGCTCTATAAAGCCTTTGATTATACTCTACACCAAATGTGGTGGATTACGTTTGCGCGAACGTATCCAACGATTGTCTGAATTGATCTCAGCATTTGTATCCGTCCGCCTGACGTCTGCCCATGTGTTTTTAGAACAATTTACCAGTGTTGGTCTTTCCCACTGCACCCAATGTGCCCATTTTCAAGTCGGAACATTCACAAACACTACTCTCTTTCATCACCTCTCTCTTCCCATAACACTTGCTCATTACCACCTTATCCGCACGTATAGAGGCATCCCTCACGATTTGGTTATAGAAAAAAAAAAAAAAATAGATTGATGTGAAAAATATGGAAGGGGTCAGCCGATTTTTAATCCTTCCCTTATATAATCGTTCCTACGAAAAGAAAACACTTATATGGCCAAGCAGTCTAACTTAATAATAGTTTGACATAAAAATTAAATTTCACCAAATTTGCATCATGGCGGTCTACTTTTTGTACACCAAGTACATAATAATGAAGTCTTCCGCAAGTAGATTAATTTTGCTAAATTTAGGCGCCATACGACTAGGAAGTGGCGTAGAATATTTGAAGGCGGTCCTTTTTAAATTTCCCTATTAAAATTCTTTAAAATCCTGTATAGGCCTGTACAGTCTTTCTTCTTCACGTCTTTCTATTACTTCACATAAACCACGAGCGTTTAATAAAATATGCTTAAAAAGAACGTTTTATGTTTCCCTCCGTTTCTGTTGGCTAACAATTTCAATATGTTTTCATTTATTCGAAAGTGACCTTAAATATTCATATGTAATATAATTCAAAACAATTCAACGAAAATTTCAAATTTTCTCCAAAATGGTTGAAAATCATCTCATTTTTGTTCAGTTCAATGACATTTCCCTCTCTAATGTAGCCTTATTGGTCCATTGTCGTCATTTTCAGCTCCACAACTGATGACACGTCATCGTTCGAAATAACCGGGATACGAGTTGAGGATAGCGGCCATAATGTACAGTTTGAAGATGGCATACCCAGCGTCCTAAGAGATACACAATTTATTATACGCGTGTTTGGGAACGGTTTAACAGCGGATACTATGATAGCGTTTAGCACTCAACTCAAAGAACCAGGAGCTCATTGTCAATTTCCATCGACATTATTGCATAAACCTTTAAATAATTCCGTGACCGGTGCAACAGCTTTGTATGAAATCAAGTTACCGTCATCTAAGGAAGAATTTTTTATTTGCGCTAAAAAGGATCCGGATGCTTTTAAGGTTAGTCGAACTCGTGCAACAATAATTTACACTTACTTTTATCCCATTTTTACCTAAGGAAAATCAAGCCGATCCTTTGCCTTTAATACATAAATGTAAAGATTCTTGGTGTGCTTTGCGTACTCATGAAAGCATTTTACCACTATGGGTGTCGATTGTCGTTATTGGAATTTGTTTATGCTTTTCGGCTCTCTTCTCGGGATTAAATTTAGGTCTCATGTCCCTAGATCGCACTGAATTAAAGGTTAGTTTTTAATCGTATTATTTCGTCGTTGTTTGCATTTTATTTTTATTAATTTCCTCTCTTATACTATAATGTTGCAGATTTTGCGCAATACAGGCTCCAATAAGGAACGCGAGTACGCCAAGAAGATACAACCGGTCAGAGATCAAGGTAATTACCTGTTGTGCAGTATACTGTTGGGTAATGTGTTGGTTAACTCGACCTTTACCATTCTCTTGGATGGCTTGACTTCTGGGCTTATTGCTGTGGTGTGCTCAACGATTGCCATCGTTATATTCGGTGAAATTACACCACAGGTTAATTCATACGAAAACCCATAAAGAGAACAGCTGTTTATGTTGTTTTAACCAAAAGGTCTTTTCCTTTTTTCCATTTTTCTTCTTTCTTTTCTCTCTCTCTCTCTCTCTCTCTCTCTCTTCTCCGTTTTTCTGTGTGCTCCGTTTCACTTGAATTGTAGGCGATTTGTTCTCGTCACGGCCTGGCGGTGGGTGCGAAAACCATTTATGTCACAAAAATGGTGATGATTGTAACGTTTCCTTTGGCTTATCCAACTTCAAAAATTCTCGATTATTTGCTAGGCGAAGAAATTGGCAACGTTTATAATCGCGAACGCCTTAAAGAATTAGTGAAGGTAATCTTTAATATGAAACATTAAGAAAATTAAAATTATTACCCGTAAACCTATATATCTTTGTAGGTAACTACCGGTATTAATGATTTGGATAAAAATGAAGTTAATATCATTTCTGGAGCATTGGAATTGCGTAAGAAAACCGTCACTGATGTTATGACACATATTGATGATGCTTTCATGTTACCTTTGGAGGCAACTCTTGACTTTGAAACTGTTTCTGAGATAATGAAGACAGGTTATTCACGGATACCTGTATATGACGGCGATCGGAAAAATATCGTTACATTGCTATATATCAAAGATTTAGCTTTCGTTGATCCAGACGATAATACACCGTTGCGAACTTTATGTGAATTCTATCAAAATCCAGTGCATTTTGTTTTTGAAGATGTTACCTTGGATGTTATGTTCAATCAATTCAAGGATGGTACTTTCGGTCACTTGGCTTTTGTGCATCGTGTCAACGATGAAGGTGACGGTGACCCATTTTATGAAACTATTGGCTTAGTTACTTTAGAAGATGTTATAGAAGAACTAATACAAGCGGAAATTGTCGATGAAACTGATGTGTTTGTTGACAATCGTACAAAGGTTCGTCGTAATCGTTATAAAAAGCAAGATTTCACAGTGTTTGCGGAACGTAAGGAACATCAAACCATACACATTTCACCACAGTTGGCCTTGGCCACATTCCAGTACTTAAGCACCTGTAAGTAACTATATCGTATAGAATTTTTTCTTTCAATAAATTGTTATTATTCAAAATTTTAGCGGTTGATGCCTTCCGAAACGATGTTATATCGGAGGCGATTTTACGGCGCTTACTTAATCAAAACATTATATTTAACATTAAATGTAAAGGTAAAGAAAAAGACGATCCGTCCCTATTCCTTTACCAGCAGGGTAAAGCTGCTGATTACTTTGTACTTATTCTGGAGGGTCGTGTTGAGGTCAAAGCTGGTAAAGAAAGCTTGCTTTTCGAAGGTGGACCTTTTACTTACTTTGGTACTCAAGCGTTAGTACCTGTTGTTCTTGTAGGTAAGTAAAGAAAACGCCATTAAGCATTTGTGTTACGTCCGCCAGTAGATGATAAAAAAAAAAAAAACGAAAAGTTTAGTAACTTTGTAGTTAAGATTGTAACACTTAAGAGCAGCATTTAGAAAGTATTGAAATTTACATATTTATATTACATATTCTAATAAGTGTTGAGCCCTTAAGATGATTTCATTTAAATCACTCATCTATTCATCTCATGCCTGATTTCTTGGACTAATCAAGGCTATATTTACATTATTAGGCTTCACATTTTTTGAAATTTTTTTCCCAGATAAATATATTTTTCTTTTATAGAGTCTTCTTCGCAACAGGGTTCATTGCAGTCATTGAATTTAGAAAATCCGAAAGTTCGGCAAACTTTTATACCCGACTATTCAGTACGCGCTCTTACTGATGTCACTTATATTGCCATTAAGCGTAACTTATATTTAACTGCCAAAAAGGCCACGTTACTGGAAAAAACTCGAAAATCTGGCACTTCGTTTGCAGTCGACTTTGATGCTGAGGTAGAAAAGGTAGGTCAGCAAAGATTCGTAACACGGTAACGCGTGTTTTTAATTTATTATCGTGAGAGTTCCAAAAATAGCGATGTATAACGAAAGATCTAACTATAGGATAATACGTAGAAATTACCGTTAACAATATGTTTTCTTATTTTCCGAGTAATACAGCAATACGCGTTTTTTTATTTCATGTTTACTGATTTCGAAAATTCTGATAAGAAACCGAGTCGAGTTCCCCTAGCAGACAAAAAAAACACTCCATAGCTGTACGAAATCTAAGTTTGCCTATATTCAAAGATGAAAATTTCTATACCCCATACTTCTTATGGTACAGGATATATTAACTTTGTGGGGATGTACATAATACACCCAAAAGTGCTTGAGATGCACCCACCCACCTTTTATTATATCATTGATTTTCTGAATCAATCTTAGCTTATGTGTCTGTCCTTCCGATTGATCGCCGCCCACCTATTACGTACAGATCACAATTTTGAGTAATCTTAATGAAATTTAGTGCACCCACGTACTTTGATCATCTCTCGAATAACGCCTTATTTTAAAAAGATATAGAAGATAAAAAAATACGTGGCATTATCGATAACTGCAAGAAGCGAAGTAGTATTGGATATGTAATGATCGTCTATTACCGGCTAGTAAGCTTTCACTTATTCTAACATACTGAAGTTTCCAAAAACTATTTCTTTAAAGATATCAACTGAGCCCATATCCATATTTAGTTAATATGTGTGTCGCAATAATGATTTTCATCTGGGCGTTAAGTTCATCGTTAAAAATTTTAGCGCATTACTAATAATATCCTAAAGCTATTTTCATTTAGTTTTCAAACTTAGTTTAGTTCTGGTTATCGCAAGATTAGCGCTCATATTTAAGCCAAATATCTTTCTTCTTTAAGTCAGGATAGTAAATATACGAAAAAAATGTTTACAATCTAGATTTTATATTAGAGGCATCATGTCATACAATTAAAAATATATATTTTCAATTGTGTTGTTTATTACATAATTTATAATTTTAGTTAATGTTAAGTGAAAAGAAAAAAATCGAGAAAGTTGAAAGTGAAATCGAAGATGATAAAAATGAAAATGAGAATAAGAATGAGAATGAGAATGATAATGATAATGAAGAAACCGGTGACAGTTATCGAAATTATGAAAATGCCGGAAATCTTCGATACTATAGCAGTTCTGAAATTACACTTTCTGGAAGTGCTACGCTTCGAAAATCAAGTTCACAATCAACCATGAAATAAATCAAATTTTTTCAAAATATAATTGATTTTCTTATGAAAAAAGGTAAAAGAATTCTTTTAATAAGAAGTTTCAATAAAGTGCTTTTAATTAAGAAAAGAAAATGATAAAATTGACTTAACGCGTTAACACCCACCACCTACCTAGGTCTAGGTCTATAAGCGGTAATTTTTTTTTTTTTTTTTTACATTTTTTGATAAACAGAGCTGAATGCGTTTGTCTTCTTTACTGAGTAGATACATATGGCGTGGATACCCAATTTTCTACTTTTTTTTTTTTTTTTTTTGCCACCGTGAGAATGTTAGTAATGTGCAGGCAATCAGTCGAATATGTTAGAACGCATGAAGCATCTGGTGTCTCGAATATAAAGAAATTTTCACTAAATGTATATTTCTGGGGGGATCCTTTAAAGCGTAGTTTTTTTTTTTTTTTTTTTGCTTTCTAAATAATATTCGAATACTCTTAGCCTGGGGTGGTGGGGATAAAATATTGAAGATTATAAATTTATAGTGTTCCGTTCACATTACACATTTTAATGTTTTTTGAACATTGCAGCTGTTGCATTCCCTACATGAAGACGATAAACAACAGTTCTTTCGCGGTAGCCAAAATTTGCGCAAAGGTTCAATGGTGTTAACCGCCAGCAATACAGCGTCGCCATCATTAAATGTAAGTCATAATATAAAGCAAATCTATTATATAATCTAAAGTGGTTTTCATTTCATTCTTATAAGGATTTCTCGCAGCAAAGTCGAAGTATAGCAGCGACAGTGACGCAACAAAATTCGCAGGCGACTAATAGCGGCGAAATCAATGAAGTTATATCGATGAGTAGTTTATTAACTTCAGAGGCAGCGGCCAATAACAGCGATTTAAATACCCACGAATATATCTGTAATGACGGTGGTGGGGGCGGTGATAAAGCGATAGTCACGACACCTTTGCTACCGAAATCGGATCTTAAGCACAATAATGTCAATGCAAAATAACAAAAACCTATTTAACAGTCTATATGAACTGTTAAAGATGTAGCAAAAAACACAACAAATACAATATGTTTTCCATAAATAAGTAATAGAAAAAAGTAGAAAACAAAAAAAAACAAAAAAAAAAAAAAACAGAAAATTTTGTGAAAACTTTTTTCTTCAAAACCGAAAAATCAGTTTCTATGTTTATCATGTGATTTCTTTTTTAAGATTTAGTAAAAAAATAAAGAAAAACACTATAAATCGAATAGAGAGCATATATATATATATATATATATATAAAAAAAAACAACTTGTGTCTATAATCTATAATCAAAATATTACAATAATAATAATCATATTATTAGAAATACAAATAATATAATTTTTTCAATATTTTACTCTTTTTCTCCGAATTTATACCTCATTATCCGTTCAAGTTTTTTTAATTGAAAAAATAAAAAATGATTTACGCTTACAATTACTTAATATGTACTTAAGCATATCTATGTTAATTTTAGAAGGAACAGAATCAAAGCAAAACTATGTTTTGTTATCTGTGTAAAGTAATTTTAAAATAAAACTCCAAGCAAAAGTGAAAACAGTTGTTATAGATGCGTAGAATAAGAGAAAAAAAAAAAAATGAAAAAAAAGAACAAAGAGAAGGAAAAATTTTAAAAATTACGTAAATAAAGTTATTCATTTATTCCACGATTTTCTGCTTATCGCTTTCATTTTGCTTTCACATCATTTAACAACATTTGGAATCAATTTTTTTTTTTTTTTTTTCTTTTTGTATTCAAAGTTTTTCAAACAATCAATAAAATTTATAATAGTTATTTCATTTTTTGTTTTACCTAAAAAGAAGAAGAACACTTTCCTAGCATTGGCTAGGAAAGATGGATGGATTATTTTATTATGTAAAATTGTTGTTTAAGAAAGAAAAAGTAATAAAACAATATTTTCATAAAATTCTACAATAATAATTTAAAAAATCTTTAATGCCCACCATCTAGTTGTATATGCATCTATCCCCATATAGAGAAGGCACATTTCAACATTCATCCGTGGGCTCAAATATGTGGGCACATGTTAATTATTAGTATGCTATCATCTAAATAAAAGATACTATGTTCTTTATCGTTGATTTCAATGTGGAAACAAGTAAAAGCATTTTAGCAGAAGCCGGTTCATCATTCAATACCCTACATCACTTAATCATATAGTGACTTGTCAAAATAGGTTGGTATATGGGACGTGGTCGAAGAAGTGGTACGATGCGAACCGTTTTCAAAAGCGTTTGTCCTTGTCATAAAAACTGTTAGTATACCAAATTTCATCAAAATATTTAAAAAATTGTGATCTGTAAGTTGAATGCAAGTAAATAAGACGGACAGCGAAGTCTAGATCGATTCCGAAAATGTTTCTGAATCGACGAGTGTAATAAACAGCGGGTCAATCTCAAGCCTTCGGAATGTTGTACACATTCGTCCAAGCTTAATACGCCCTTGTGCCACATGCGGTGAAGGACGTAAAAACACTGCAGGAAAATTTGCTGACGGAAACAATACAGTGTAGAGAAGCGAAACTCTTTTAAGCTTTTCCTTACGGGGACGTGAGTAGTGATGGTAATAGGACTACGATTGCTTGGTATAAAATAAACGTCAAAAAACATTAAGAAAGCAAGAGCTACAAGTTTCATTAATGATATGGCAAACCCGGCATTTCTTTACCGAAAAAATTATTATTGACCGCAATGTGTCTTCACTGCTTTAACTTAAGGAGACTGAAAATCACTTTATTATAACGTTGGCCGAAGGTTGCTTAATCACATTTTACATTTTGTTTACTCATTTATTTTACTTTAATGAATACGCACAAAAAAGAAGTTTGATAGAATTGAAGAGGAGGGAGGGGAAGCTGCACAATCCATTAGCCAATTTATAGTTTAAATCAGTTTTAGTTCTCTTTTTTGACAATACAGAAAGGATATCCCTTCATCAGCTATGCGACAAAGGTCAGAATAAGTTTTAGCTACTGTTAGTGTATAGCCTTTCCTAACCACTTTTACTTTACAATTTTACTTTCATTTTACAACATCGTCTTATTGCATCGCTCTCGTATATTAATATACTATACTATACTACTATATATATATTTAGATTAAAGAAATGAAAGTGTCGATTTCGACAAGAGTTTGATATATTAGGTGCTTGCAAAAATTCGGTACAATCTATATTAATCAAAATATTACCTACAACTTTTTCTACAACATTAATATGGTAAATATTTTTGGCAAGATGGCGATGCAGAGTCGAAAGAACTTATACAAGTTAGGCAGCGATCCAATCATCGTCCTATTTTCGCACTTCTTCAAGTCGTAATCAGAAGGCGCCATGTCTGGTGAGTATGCTGAGCGTGAAAGAACTTCCCATTCGAGCTGCAACAGTGTATCTAGGACAACTCTTGCAACACGTAGCCAAAAAATGGCATTTTTAGTCATTTCGTGTCACGACTTTCAAACCATTGCGAGCAAAACCAACAATTGGGATATGATGGATTATCGTTTTCAATACCACAAGGAAACTTTTCTTGCCCAGTGAAGTATACGGATTCTTGATCAGTATCAAATTCTGAATTGATTTAAGCACATCAGTCTATCCGTCGGTATGTCTGTGTAATGTGTGTTGTAAACATACCCCTGCCCGCAAAAATGAAGCTATAAATATGAAATTTAACAGAAACATTGAAAGTTCTTGAATGCAGGTTGGCATTGCAAATGGGCGGAATCGGTCGAAGGACACGCCTATAGTACATTGCAAGTTGAGGACACCACTGTTTTTCAAAGGGAATGAAAAATTTGTCTTCAGCTCATCACTCGTAAACTATAACGGATTGATCTACAAAAATTTGATCGTTAATCTATGGGCGATGCGGTATTACAAAAAATCGGCCATTATTACTTAAGTTTATGGTCTGTCATGATTTTCTTTTTTTTTTTCAAAACCTTTGCGACGCATAGAAGCAAGCTCCAAATATCCCTTAAAGCATAAATTCTTCGCCAGTTTCAAATTCGGAATGCACCTGAGTATGTCCCGGTGTTCATCTGTCCATGTGTCTGCGTGCGCAGCTGTGTAGTATCTGCGGTAAACATTCTACCGTTCGCAAAAATGAACGTATCACCAAACGTTTCAAAGATCATGCCTATACGCGTCCACACGTCTATGTAACAATAATTGTGAGCACCTTTGTTTTTCCGTGCGTTATGTCTGTTACTCATAAAATGCAACATATACACGTTATAAATTTCCACTTTCATTCTGAAAATATCAACCGCGCCCAACCAATATTCTAGAGTAAGAAAATTTAGTTTTTTCCTCTTTTCGGGATCACGATAACAGCCACGAGTGTCTTGACATTCTAAATGAGTTGCGAAAGAGTAACGAAGTACATCTAATAGATCTTCCTGAGGGATCCCCTGCCGATAGCAATGAAAAAGCTGGCTGATTAGTCAAAAATCGTGCCGGAAGCGCGTTTCTATCGTTGGCCTAATCTAATCTAATTATTTACGGGAACACATTCTATGAAAAATCAACTCAATAGAAACTTAATTAAATAAATAAAGTCATTAAAATAACCAAGGGCTTCCTCTTTTCTCCTATATTTGAATGCAGTATCCAGTAAACAAAAAAAAAAAATTGTGTTTTTCTGGAAATACTAGTTATATATTTATATAGTTTATTTTAAATATATTATAATGCAATTTTTTCACACACATACCACAACTTTCATAGTGTGGATATGCGCATTCTTTAATTTAAATTACAATTAATAGGGAGGAAAAAATAAAACTGTACGTATACATGTTTTAACCTATAAAAACTATAAAATCTTTTTTTGAACTTTTCATAGTCGAAAAAAAAAAAAAATGCATATATTATATATATATATATATATATATATATTATATAATATGTATTATATAATGCGCATATATTATTATATATACATATATATAATAATCAATTAATAAGAAAATCCTTTAAAAACATACTTTACAAAAAAAATTTTATTCAAATAACTTATTATATACCGAAAAATTTGAAAACATCTTTAAAATAAAAAAAAAGAAAAGAAAAAAAAAAGAAAGAGTATATGGGCTTAATGCTTATAATGCTTTGATGCTGATAATGGAATATTAACAAATAAAATAGAAAATATATTGTTGCAAAATTCTACAAATCTGATGAAGGATATACGAAATGTTTACAATTTTCTTTAAATACTTTTCACAAATAATGAAATGAAATTAATAAAACAATGGAGAAAACAATATTCACTTTGGCCGTACCCACCACCCTCTTGTCCGACGTTATCTAAATTTAGGGCATCGTCTTCGTACCGGAAGGAATATATGTTTTTTTTTTTTTCATAAAATATGCGAATGAAAACAGTCAGTTTATTCGATACATGCACGATAAGTCCTAGCTTTTATTACATCGTGTACATAATAAATTTTGGGTAGAAATTTGTTGCAGTTGATATTCTCGGCCACTCCCGCGAAGGTTATATTTCAGTCTTTTAACTTTTATGGACGTGCGAATGAAATAAAATCATTTTCGAAATTAATTAGTGTGTATACATTATATACAAACAGACATATTACAACTTATACTTATTTCAGTTTACGTAGCGAGTTTAAAAAGCAGACAGACAGATGGATCTGGTAGACAAATTGTTTTGAATAAACATAAACGCATTGAGCAAAAACCTTTCATATATTACGATCACGTCCTGAGTCGTCTCGCTTATTTATTCTCATTTCATCTTTTTTTTTTTTTGTTTTCTTTTTTTATTTAAACAATTTCCAAGCAATCTTTTACGTCCCGTTAATAATGCGAAATAAAACTGGCAAGGCGAAGACATAGAAAGCTCGCTTAACCTTTTCTGGCAATCAGATCTTGTGTAGTTTCGCAAACCGAACTTGTGCAGATCCAGTTCCGAAGACAATATGCAGCATTTTGATGTTATTGCACTTTAAGTTTATGAATCGATCTCACATCTAAGATTTGGATAATGCCAACAGTTGACCAAAGTCAATTTATTTAAATTCGCACGACGATCGAAAATATGTGTGCACTTTGTGGGTATTGCAAACGTTGGCGAGTATCAAGTCTTATGGCATTTCTTGTTAGTAGCTGAAAACGGAAAACATTCTCATCGCAATTTTTTCCCTAACATTTCTCATTGCTTAGAAATTAAATTTTTGTAAAATACAAAAAATATTTGGATGATCTTATTTAAAATCTTGCACTATAACTCTACTGATCCCATAAATCTCGAGCTTTTGCTTACAATGGGTATGCAAACCAAAATTTTCGAATTACAAAATCTCTTATTTCCCTTTAGGGAATATTGCAAGGCTTAAAGGTACCCTTAGTCTATCATTTCTCTGGTGTGTTTGCAGTTAATTCGTTTGTGAGCTTTTGGAAATCGAGTTAGTGGGTCGCAGTACTAAAAACATAAGCGATCACGATTATACAAAGTCAGAATAGTTACTTCCGAAAACGAGAAACAAAATCTTTCGATAATGAATTGAAGGAAAAAATTGCATTCATTGGAAAATTGTTTTAATTTCAGATGTCTTGTTTCCTTCCATCTCTCTTTCTAGCTAGGAAAAGACCAAACGAAAAGTTATAATACTTAAATACAATGAACAGTTGTTTGAGAATTATTGAATATTCGCATAATTTTTATCTTAAAAGTTTTAAAGGGAGTAGCTGACGACATATGAATGGCTGCTCCTATTATTATTAATGTATGCGTGAAGTCATGGTAAAAGATCGGTTAAAAAAAATTTTTTTTACTACACATAAGCTGCTAAAAAGCTTTTGTCAGTTTTCTGCTAATCTCGATGAGAAGTTGAGCGAGAACGCGAAATGGAAGAACCTCCTCCACCGCCATGTCGACGCGATTCGGATCGCACTCGTTTCGAGTGAGAACTACGTTTTGGTGAAGGTGAGTCATCTGCATAACGGCGTCTGGGTGAAGCTGAATGGCCACCGCCATTGCGCTCGTCTTCGCTGTAGCGTGCATCGCCATTCTCACGTCCATTCTCTCTACCTCGGCCATAAATATCTCGGGTGGTTTTGCGTACTTCTCTTGAAGCGGAAGCAGAACGGCTACGGCTATGAGAACGTGATACCGAACGTGAGTGCGATGACCTGTTGCGACCTCTTGAGGCGCTGCGGGAACGACTGCGCGAGTAACTGTTTTCGAAAATTTAATAATAAAAATCAATTAATAAATGAAAACAATATAAGGATGTATAAAAATATTACGATGTGGTTATATTATATCGACATTAAAAACTATTGTAGGTTTTAATTCATTTATTTCTTTTATGACTAATACAAAAACTTAAGGTATTATCAATTTTTATAAAGCAGTAGCCTAAGATGAACAATAAAAAGCTGTAGATGCCAGCTCAGTCTGACTCCACAAGTACATCTTTATCTTTTTTAACCTTCTTTTTAGCCGGTGTCCCTGAAGGTTCTGGCGCGTCCGCATCGGCAACTAGGGTGGTGTCTTGATCTTTGTTTTTATTTTTCTTCTTCTTCTTTTTCTTCTCAGATTTTAACTCCTCAGTATCAGGAGATTTCTCTGCTTCCACTGCTACATCTTCAGGTTCAATTTTTTGACTTTTTGCAGATTTACTGCATTCCGCAGCATCTGAATGTTTTCGTTTCTTCGCTAAGCCCAAGGTACTATCAGCTTCAGGATGATAGGTAAAAACTTCGCTATAAGTTACAATTTTATAGAAAGTTAATACAAATTTCTGGATAAAGTTTCTTTATGACTCTGTGCTAATTATTTAACTCAGACAGCCAAGGTTTCTCGTCATTTTAGCAATATAGCATCTGACAATTGCGAAACCTTTAATTATCATCACGGATTTAGACACAAAATCAAAAATTTTCAAAGTTATACTTACCTCTTTGCTTGATATTTCTCAAATTTTGCTTTCGCTTTCCCTGTACCGGATAGTTTACGTAAATTACCTTCTTCTAATAGGCGAAGTCTGGCTTCCAGTCTAACTTTGTGGGCTGCACCCAATTCAAAGGTGGCCTCTTCACCAAAAGCGTCAACGCGCGTAGCTAGCGAAGCCTTGGCTGCTAGAGAGCGCGATATTTTACCTTTATTCTTTAAACTCGCTTGTCCTACTAACTGAGCGTGAAATATCAGGCCATATTTTGGTGTGTCCTTTTTGGTTTTTAAGGCACGGAATAGAGCCTTTTCGGCACCCAATATTTGTACCGTGGACGAAGGATGTTTAGCAAGATTAATCAGAGAACCAGCATGAGCAATTAAACGAGCACCCACTGTCTCTCCCACTAGAATTGTCAGATTCGGGGCCATAGCCATCATGCGAGCCTTGAGGTAATCGTATAAATGGGCGCGGTATTCACTAATTGACAAAATCTCATCACATAAACATTGGATATTAATTGTATCATCTTCTGATATCTCGGTGCCCATGGAAATCTCGGCGGCTTCCTTAACTCTCTCCTCCACATCCTCCGGCAATATATCTGATAGGTCGGCGACGGCTATATTGTCACGGGTACCCACCAATTTGATGGTTTTCACAAAAGCAATGTTGTCGGTGATTAGTTTTCCCAATTCCGGAAAATGCCAACCATACCATTCACGTGCTCTCATTATATAATTATTAAGCTCCTTATCCAAATCATCTAGCAAGCACTGAGCTTGTACAATCATGGTGTCAATTTTGTCTGGGGAAAACTTTAGTTTGTAACGCGAGAGTGAGTGCGCCAAACCTAAAGCCATAGCAGTCATTTCTTTTTTGGGTAATCCACCTAACAAACTGTCTGCTTGTTGGCGAATGCAACGCATCAATTCCTGAACTCCAGTATTATAAACACATTGCACAGCAAATTTATCTTTAATGGCGTTACCCAACTTTGCATCGGCTACAAGAAGCGATTCTTGCACTTCATCGCCAAACAATTTCTTAAGGGTTTTCTTTAAGGGTTTCGACACTTTACCCTCAACCGCGGCCGTGGCAGCAGCCAAGGCTTCTGTGGTATCATTAAACTTTTGAAAATGTTTTAATTTCAGCAATTTATTGGCTCTGTCCGGAGTTTGAAACTCCTGGTATAAGTTATCCACTTCTTTTAACTTTTTCTCATCTAACAATTTAAATATGGCGTATCCGGCCGGTGTTTCATACAAAACAAACATTTTATTTTTCTTTTTTTTTTACACGTAGAAAACAAATCAATTCTTGCGTTTATTAAAATTACTTAAAAGCCAAATAACTTCACGCCATACGTAGACAATACAATATGTTTTCATAAATCCAAAATGACGGATTTAAAGAGAAAAAAAAGCACGTGCAAAAAGAGAATAGCCCTCTGGATGTCACGATAGGCAATGATTTTCAAGCACTTTAAATTTAAGATTTTCGGCGTTGCCAGATACTTAAATGTTATATGATGCTACTGAGCAAAACAAGCAAATTTCCATTTAAAACCTCACAACAGTCAATATACACAAAAGTTTTCAAATTGGAGTATACATAGGCCAGCAAAATTTTTATCAACATTTGCATAAACAAACGTAATTTCGCAATGACTACACTTAATAAGCAACTAATATATGCACTGAAACTATCTTCATTTAAATGAAGCAATAAATCTTTCCAATTTTTAATAAAAAAAACGAAATTTTGAGGAGACCACAATGTATACTTTCAACAAACGAAAGCAATACGAGCTTTACCGATCCTATCTGACAAAATTGAGATGGTTTATTCATAGAAAAACAAAGGTAATTACATAAAAACAGACACCGCACGTGTAGTACGTCTTTCGTAACAAGTAAGCCGCAGTTACGATTTAAATTTTTCTCGAAGAAGTTACTTTGGATATGCATATCGAACTAGTCTATTTTGTAAATTTTCGTCCGACACTATGGTACAGATCAGTTTATTGCATTCCTTAGTACTCTCGAAATTGTTAATTTTAATAATTGCCAGGTTTCTACAAAAGGAACTAGATTTTAATATCCTCGAAATTTATAGGAACGTGTGCGGTTATGTACCCCGACATATTAGGCTAATAACGAATGGAAAATGCAGCGTAAATGCAGCGTATATTCAGTTGAAAAATTGCTCTGCAAAATCAGCTAGCAATTCAGCTAGCGGAAACGTAAGGCTTCTCATAAAGCCATGTACATGTCGCGTCAAGGATACTTTCGATGCACATTAATTGTTATATTATTAAAACTCAACCTTTTAAGGAATATTAACAATCAAAAAATTGCCCACATATTAATTAGCTATGATTTCCAAGAATGTAATGAGCTTTAACAAACACTTACCGTCTTTTGGGACGACCATGTCTGCGACATTCTCGAGCATAATGGCCTCTATCACCGCACTCATAGCATTTGTTTTCACCATTGCCACCTCGAGTACTTTTACCTGTAGATACTTCAACTCGAGCCCGTCGGCCACATATAGTACGCCCATCTACGCCTCCTCCCCGGCGTTCGCCACGGGTGCTTTTACCTGTAGATAATTCAACTCTGGCCCGTCGCCCACATATAGTGCGGCCATCTAAACCTCTAACCGCATCAGCTGCATCACGGGCATCTTCATATTCCACAAAAGCAAAACCCGGCGGTGACCGAGCTATCCACACGCTGCGCAACGCACCGTACGCACTGAAAACATGTTCCAACTCATTTTTTCGAGCATTGTTACCCAAATCGCCGATATACACTTTTCGATCGCTTGGGTAGCGAGACATTTTTTTTGACTAAAACAAAAATTTATATAGAATGGAAAAGAAAAACGAAACTTTAAAAATCAAGAAATAATTCACTTCCATATAAGGGTAGTTATTGTACAAGCCATGAATAAAAAATCGATTCATTTTATATTTACAGCAAATCTCAACAATTGCTTGCTTATAGGAATTTACCATTTTTAATTTAATTAATTTCCAATAATAGTACACCCGATATTTTTCAGATAATTATAGCTTTTTACTTAAACTGCGACATATTCTTCAAAAAAATATATAGAAAAAATGAAAAATGTTTTCTTTTCTTTTTTGTTGCAACGCGCAAAACCTTTATTCTGATAGTGCTGCCAGTAAAAAAGACGACTTCCCACTCTACCTAAGGCACTGCCAATTTCAATTATCGTCATATATATTAGCGTCAGAAGCATCTTTTGAGACATTAAATAATACAAACACAAATAAAGTAATAGACATATTTTACTAGTGCTACCAAATTAAAATACTGTGTACTGCGTTCACGCAATGAATGTTTCTTGCAAAGAAGAAGCTCAAAATAAAAAACAAATATTGCAAATTAATAATGGTTTGTGAGAAATGTGAACAAAAGCTAGCCAAGATCGCCGTTCCAGATCCTTGGAAAACAGGCTCTGCGAGAAAAATTAATGAAAATAAAGCTTTAACTTCCGCTAAAGACAGATTTAACCCCGTAGGGAAAGTTCCATGCAGGTAATAATTTGTTCGGTAGCATTTCTTGGAAAGTTATAATTCTGTTTCATTTTAATGTAAAGAATTTGCCGACAAAAGGTACATCAAGCTGGTTCGCATTATTGCCAATCATGCGCATATAAAAAAGCGATTTGCGCAATGTGTGGAAAAAAATTAATGAATGTTAAAAATTATAAGCAAAGTTCGACCTAGATTTTTTTTTGTATTTTATGTAATTAAGATTTTAGTTCTTAGAAATAAATTTAATGTAAATATGGTGTAAAAATAATTTCCATTGTAATTTCTTAAATATAATATCCTGAAAAAATTAAAAGTATTCCATCAAAGTCGGAAATGATATTTATTCCACAGGACATTTTGGCAAAACGTCTTCAGTCGAAGACTTCTCTTTCTCTTTGTCTTTCTCTTTTTTTTTCTTTCTTGCAGTGCTGGCGTAACTTAAGGCTTCTTTGTTGAATTCTAGCGGCATTATTCCTAAGTCGCCGCTGTAACGGTTTTTAACCACCTGCAAGTATTTTTTACCGCTTATTGAAGTTAAGCGTTTGTCTTGTATTATCAAGACATTGTCAGCTTCTTGTGTAGCTTTGGCAGACCCGAAAATGGAATTGGTGGTTAAATCGCCTTCGTCACGTTCTTTACGGGGATGCATAACTAGAGAAACATGGACGTTGCGTTTGGTAGCCAGAGAGCGAAAAGCAGCTATAATATTGTCCTGCTCCCAAAATTTGTCAACGCGATAAGACATGCCCATCATGAATTGCAGATTATCAATAATGACGTGGTGAATATCATGTACATAATGAGCGTGTTCAATAGCGTCTAAAACCAGCTTAAGGGGTTGTTGTCCATGAAACGTCATAAAATATATAGGATGCTTTTCGAATTCGGTGGCCCAATGTTCAAATTCATGCAGCCTTTTTTCCAAAGAGTAGCCGACAAACTGACGTAATAGTGTAACGGCCAAACGAGAATTTCTGATTTCGAAAGAACCCCACAATGTCGAAACACCCTGTAAAGCTAAATCCAAAGAATACTCACTCATAAATGTCGTTTTGCCGCAACCTGTAGGTCCGGTTAAGATAGTCAGTTCTCCTTTACGATGACCTTTTAAAAGTTTATTTAAAGCAGGAAAACGTTTCCACTTGACGCCGTGCACTTTTTCAATATTTTGCAATTCGCTCAAAATACCGTTCCGAAGACCACTAAAAGTGGTGATGGACGGATGACGTACTGCCGTGGCGCGTTGGAGAATGTGATATACATTGTAGCGTTTGCGTTGAGTTTCAAACGGCGACGGCTCCATATCGGTAGGCCTTATAAGACGACAACGCTTCTCTCCCATTTTGCTGGCAAACATCTTACCTTGAAATATGTTTGATAATTTCGACTTAAAAATATTTACTTGTTATAACAGAAATGTGAAAAATGCCTTAATCGCACCTATGTTTAACAAAATAGTTATGAGGGCCAAAGGCAAATTCGTTCTCATATCAGAAACTTTATTGTTCTTACCTATGTCCCAACTTGGGGAATCATATTTGAACCATAATATCAATTCTTTGAACTGCTCCAAGCCTGGTAGGCATTCCTGAGGAAGTGATTTTAGACCATAAGGTAGACATACAATGGAGTCTACAAGAGAAAAACTAAAAATTTTTGATTACAAAACTGCTTTATAATTTATACTACACACGGGTTTCTAATCGTTGAGCTATCAATGCCAAGAAATCCACTGTACGTGACACCACTACAGCTTTTTCTTTTTGTTTGTCACCTACGCAATGTGTTAGTAAACCAGAGGTATTGTTGTCGCAATGGGATTCTTCATTACCACTGCTTAAGAAAAGCCACTTTTCGCCTACGTACCGACTACTAGCGTTTTTTAAAGGAAATTGTAAAATATTCATGTTCTTGTCATAAGCAGCTCCTAATAACTCAAAGTCCACCTGTTTTAAACCAGTGATGTGCAAGCTCTCACATATCTCGCGTGGCACAGGATCTGTACATTTCGTCTTATATTCTTTCTTCTGTTCCTGTTGGTAATCCACAATTTTCCTTCGTTTCTCATAAGCGCTCTTTACAGCAGCTAGAGGAAGTTTTACATCACAGCTTGGACACATAAAAGCTCCGCTGCGTTTATTTACATATGCCCACGCCGTTGAGCCGCTTGTACACATTTCACAAGATATTTGCAAACACGTGTGACCATCTTTAGTTGGTATTCCTTTAGTTTTCAGAAGAGTTTTAAAATCTGAATAATGGTTCAAATCCTGATCACTTTCATCTATGTCCACAACCACTGATTTTGAAGTAACCGACCTGTATTTTATCCGGAACTGACATTTTTGGCTTTTTAACCAAAAAGCTGACCGCCAAATCGCTGCACGCATTGCAAATAAGTAACTTTACATTAAAAAAAAAGCAAGGTAAAGAACAAAACCACAGCGTCCCATTGAATTACACTTTGACATTTAAAAGCGAAAGCAAGATTTTTGTTGTCTTTTCTTGTTACCGATATTATAATTAAAACATTAAAAATTATATTAAAAAAAAGGTACATGTACTAATATTACATCGAAGTAAAGTTCGAAAACAAATAATCAGTCGCAGCATGATTCTGGTATTATAAATAATATTAAGTTAGCCTAAACATAGGCCGCCATAATTTTTTTTTTTATTATCAAATTAAAAAAAACAGTAGCTAAATTTTCTGCTATTTACAGAGCGAACATAACACTCTATGCTAATTTGCAAAGCCATCGGCAAAAGTCCCCCAAGTCCCCAATTGGTTCCTCTTTTACAGCAACGCTGCAAAAACGACGTTGCCATCTTCATGCGGGCCGGCAAGCGATTTATGTGTTAAGTTATAAAAAGTCTTTCTCCATATTGCTCAAAATGTTCGTTTTTCTCTTATGTTTATTTCAACTGGTAATACCATAAAATCAAAACTAATGAAACATTATGCTGAACGTGCTCTGTGAAAAAATATGGTTCCTCTCGCTTGTAAGCAGTAATTGAATTTTCTAAAAGTTGCTGAAAAATCGTCTGTATCAACGCGAACATTTTACAAATTACGTGGAGCAAATATCAAAATTTATTGCAATAGTTGAAGAAAAACATACTGAATTATTGTATTTGGTGAAGTGTATATTAAAAATGCGTAGAAGAAGTGAAAGAAGAAAGTCTACGGATGTGTCTTCACCAGTTCCGACACAACGTCGTGCAGGTAGGCGCCGAAAATCGCCTTCAATATCGGAAGACGATAAAGTCACAGACGCTGGTACGGACTCGAAATCAGAAAATTCTATTAAGATGGACTTAGACCGCACAACAGATTCCAGCGATGAACGTATTGAGAATAGGCGTAGACGTAGTTCTCGCAATAGAACTCCTGTAAAAGAGCGTTGTAGTTCTATTAAGCGTACTCGCAATAACCGGGCGCTAAGCCCGGAAGCAAAAATTAAATCTATACCAGAAGAAGAGAATGGAACTGTAAACACTACAGACAATGATGAAAGCGAAGGGAAAACAGATAATGAAAAAAACAGATATGAGAATGAACGCATGGATAAAGAAAATATAAAAAAGGAACAAATTTCTAACGTTCCTGTTGATTGTGCAAAGGAAAGTGAAAATACAGCTGAAATTAAAGTGGAGGCAGAGAATATCGTTAGAACAAATGTCCACGAATCAGCTGAAATAGAAAATAAAAAACATGAAACACCAAATGAACAAAATAAAGAGGATGATAGGGATGATCAAGATGAAGTGAAACTACACACACGCGACAACACACCGCAATCGCGAAGTAATAGTCCGCCAGCAAAACAGTCTCCTTTGAAAGAAAAATCGCAGAAAGATGACGAACCCGAGGAGGGCGAAGTAATTGAAAAGCCAGAAATTGTTGAAATGAATGCTAAAGCGCAAGAGAATCTAAATAAGGCCGATAAAGAAGAGGATAAAAATGCTAAAAAAGCTAGCCAAGAGTATGAAGGAAGTTCTGCCATTGATAGGGTTAAGGATAAGAGACCATTTTCACGCACATCATCACCCAACAAAATGGAGGAGGTAAACCACACTCAAGACGCACTCAAAACTAATGAAACCTCTAATGCAGCAGCTGATACAGGTCGCACCCGCAAACGTCGTTGGATTACAAAGAAAGCGGCTGAGAGTAAAGAACCCGTTCTGGCCATTTCCACCGATTCGCTGAAGACCTTGATTGCCGACGTTCATCCAGTGCCGTTGAGCGACGTGCAATTAGAGTCTTCATCGGAAGTGGAGGAATTGGTTCATTCAGAACGTGAGGAGGGTGAAAAGTCGCCATCTCCAGAACCGGAACGCCGTCGTGAGGCCAGCGATAAGGTGGATAAAAGTTCAAAACCTTTAGCCAAAATCCAGAAGAATCAACAGCAATATAACGACAAAGTGACCGCTTTGGTTTCAGGAGCAGGTGTTGGGCCCGTCTCTGTGCAACGTTCACCTAGTCCAGCCCGTAACCAAACCAGCAGTGTTTTATACATTACCAATTTAGTAAGACCCTTTACGGTACTTCAGTTAAAAGGTTTATTAGCACGAACTGGGAAAATTGTCGAAGATGGCTTTTGGATTGATCGTATCAAATCTAAATGCTATGTTGAATATGAAACGGAAGAGTAAGTCAAATTTCGTAAATAATTCATGATTTATTTAAAGCTGTCTTTATTTACGTTTGCAGTGAAGCCATCGAAACGAGACATGCCTTGCATGGCGTGCGTTGGCCTGTCTCAAATCCAAAATGTTTAAACGTCGATTTTGGTTTGAAACCCGATATGTTAAAAGCAGTTGAATCGACCAAAGAGGATTGTCCAAAATTTGGTCAGGATACTAATAAGGATAATCTTATAATGGGCACGGGTTGGAGTAGGGAGCGTCCTGATGAAGAGAAAAAGGTAATTTGTAATAAAATTTAATCGAAATAATTTTTAACGCAATTGTTGTTGTTAAAGGGCAACCGGCCAGTGCGCGAATGGGATGTTGGTAAAAAAGAGAATCTCGACCGGGAAAAGAATACCAAGGATGCAGAGAAGCGTCGAGAACGTAGCAGGGAAACTGAAGGCTCAAGATTGCGTGAGACGGAAAGGAATGAGCGTGAGAAAGAACGTAGGCGACGTGACCGCGAGCGTGAGCCACGAAGTACAAGTTTAACACCGGGTAAGAAATCAGTTGATCCTTTCCATAAAAAAAGTTATTTATTGTTGTTTTTTTCAAATGGTAGTGCGCAAACAAAAGAAGAAGGATAACGATCCTCCTTTGAGACTATTAGACGATTTATTTCGCAAAACTAAGGCCACGCCTTGTATTTACTGGTTACCTTTAACACCAGAACAGGTAAAATTGAATCTTTTTTAGATTTATTAAACCAAAGTTTTTATATGAGCAAAAAGTAAAGAAGTTGATGTCTAAAAATAGTCTTAAGAGAATTTAGTAAATAAATTTCCCTTGAACTTTTGAAAATGGGCCACTTCTGCTTTACCCTTTATCAAACTCTGGAAGTGCAGTAATCTCCTTCGCCCATACAGAAAATAAAGCCTCAATACCTTATCAGGCTGAGGGAATTTAAGTCACTCTCCGTTGCTGCAGTGACGAAGTTTGAAACTTGAACGCATTCGTTACGGCGGATCAAGTTTTAATATGTGCACAAAAATTTCCAAATGTCTTACCAAAAAATTTGAAAATTAAGAAGCGTAGAAAATGTATGAATATGAAATTGCCAGAGATGTCTAATTTTAACATTTTTAACTGTTAAAAAGGAATTATTTCTGACAAGGTAAAGCTTCGATGTTACCAAGATCATATTGAGTGAAACTCCGAAATATGTCCGCAAGTCTTAGTACTTTCTAAGAGATTTAAAAGCGATGCCTGTCAATTAAATCTTATCTTTGGTTTTTTTCCAAGTCCGAATTCGGAAAATAATAACTATCTCACAAATCACTTAACATTTATATATCGTTAATTCTGTTTCTGATTATATTTTTTATCCTGCAGATTGCTGAAAAAGAAGCTTTACGACAGAAGCGCTTAGAAGAACAAAAGCAACGTCTTAAGCAAAGAGAATTGGAGCGCGAAAAAGAGCGAGAAAAAGAACGGAATCGTCAGAGTGAACGTGAACGGGATCGTGACCGGGACCATCGTCGTAATAGATCAAATGATCGTCGACGATCACGCAGCCGTGATAGACGTCGCTATTAGTGATTTTAGTGGCCTTTGCCCCCTCATATTAAAATAGAAAAACCTTGTATTAGATTTCTTCTCAATGCAGCATAGAACAGCCTCACGCAATCGTAAAAATTTTTATTCCGTACCAAGGAACAAAAATTTTCTTAAAGCAAAAATCTAAAATGTGATTGAACGTCATTTAATATGCTCTATCGAGCTTGTTTTCGAAAATGAAAACTTTTCCCTTCATATCGCATTAAGTGTCTGATTAACCTTTTAAAAGAAAAAGTGGCTGGAAATGTTTTCATGTGAAGCCGGTTTCCATCTGTTTATTTGTCGTTTGCATAAATATAGTGTGAACCTTCCAAATTTCTAACTTAAAAACACATTTTCTAAATACTTTTTTTTTCGTTTTTTTCTTTTATTATTAATTTGTCTCTAAACAACTTTTTAGCTATTCCGTAAACAAATACTACGACAACAACATTTCCTTAACCGTTCGGCACGTCCTCTCAGAAATGAACATCATGACATCATGCGTAACTGCTTAGCAAAGAAAGGGCCGGAAACTTGTCTTACAACATCAGCAATGTTTATAAGCAGCACAGCGACACCAAATACAGCAGCAAGTACAGCAGCAGCTTTTACTACTTACTGTGGATTCAAGCGTACTATTAAAAAAACAGATCTATCTTTTCATGCAGATCTATCTATATAAAAACAAAATCGCATAAAAGCAATGCTGCAGACTAATATGTCAAACATGTCTGTAAAATTCTTTCATTCATAACATTTTTTTCAAAATAGTTTTAATATTATCAAAAAGAAAAAAAAAAAAAAGATATTGAAAAGAGTGTTAGCCAATGATGAAATTTAGGAGAACATATTGCGACGCTTACAATGAACGGAGAATAAATGAACGCAATAAAAAATAATTAATGCAAATGAGTTAATTCAAATACCATTTCACATCCGAAGAGAAAAGTGTAATAGTGAGGGAGCGTAGTAGTGGTTTAAGGTATTTCCAATGTAAAGAATGAGAAAATTAATAAACCTTCATTCACATACAGAGAAGTCATCGGAAATCCTTTTATTTATTACATGAGAATCATACTGAGGTGAAGATTGACGACCCATTGACTTAAAAAAAACTCACTTTAGATATTATTTTAATTGTTGTAATTCAATGTTGTTAATTCATCAATATAATAACCGGCTGTAACAGTTGCTTCTGCGTTAGCTATCTTCCCAAAGCTTCCAAGATATGTAAAGGAATGTGTCCAGAATTTGAGCACTTGTGCTATACTTAAAGGACAATGGGGCGGCATAAGACATATAATCGTGAGACGGGGTTGTGGACAGTTACATTCATGTCATCAATGTCCTGCAATATGTTGTCAATATGACCCCGATGGGTGCAATTTCAGCAATGACTGTGTCGACCCCAACGCTAAAAAAACCGCCTCATGCAAAAATCCAGTGAATCTAATTTCCTTGGTGGTAGTAGCAAATAATCGAATGAGACCTTGGAGGACTGAAGTGGAGAAGGGTTTCGTGTGAACAGTGGTTGATCACGAGTTAGTCGGTCATAAGTTCAAGGCGAAAGCTGAAAATTTTCAAGTTATATATTAATAATGTATATTTATATATATATATATATATATATATAATGTATAAAACACTTGAAATTAATTGAACGAACTGTTAATATAGAAGTATGCTCATTGTATAGGAGTTCTATAATATGAGGTAATAATATGTCCACAGGAACAAATTGCTCGTAAGCCGTGCAATTCAAGTTAACTGCCAATATGAGCAAAGCATAACATAACTTTGCATTCGGAAATTTCCCATACAAAAAGAACAATCGTTATTTTTAAAAGATAAAAATAGGCATAATAATAATAATCCAAGGTATCTAAGGTTGCATTCCGTCCTGTACGTACTATTCCATCGAAAGATTTTCCGAGTCGTGCTTTAAATAACGTGAAAAATATGAGTGAATACTCACGCACAACCTCTTCATATTCTTCTCATAAAATTAGGGGACTGTGAAAAGAACCAAATAAATAAATTGATTCATTTCAAGAACATCTTCACATATCTAATTGCGCCTAATCCATTTAATTTAGTTTCTATTTTACTAGCCTTTGATAGAGCAATTCCAGCCCAACAATGAAATCTGACAGACGATACTGCCAAATCGAGAATGTAGTATATTATGTCTTTAAAAAAATTACGGCTTTTAAAAGTAAAAATCAGCCAGCAAATAATATATGCTTCAATAAACTTTGTTATATGCTCAACAGATCCCGATAAATCTAAATCCTGCGGCATCAATGATTTAATGTTTTAATAACAGTTGTTCCATATCTGACGATATAGATTCCAGTTAATATGAATTGAATTCTGGCAAATTTTTGTGGGCGATATAGATCAAACACTTGCACAGCTCTTAGCCAGCTAAGGTTTACTTGAGCGGCTTCATGATCTTCCAAATGCCTAAATGTCTAACCATTTTTTTTTTTTTGCGGGTACTTAAATAAGCAATAGGTGACCTATAATATAAAAAATTCTGAATTCCTTTAAATTGTTGTCTGACGTTGGGGATACTTTGATGGAATATCACGCACGATAAAAGCATTAGAAGATTTTTTTTAGTTTCTAAATGACCTGAAAAGAAATTAGTATGAAATCGAAACATTTAATACTGTTGTTGAAGAATAACGCACAGGTTGATATTGAAAATATATTCTAAATTGAAAACTAAAGGTATATATGCCGATGGAAAAAATTTAGCGAATATGCACTTTATTCAGCCTTAATAATAGGTTAAAAAACACATCACATAAACGTAAAGGTTGCCCACTTCTTCTGTAGATGCATTCTGCGGCCCAGTTCACATTTTAAGATAAACTATCGTTAATTGAATTCGGTTATGTTGAGACCAGAAGTTGATATATACTTGCGAAAATTTATAATAGAGCAACTAAGGTCTACGGCGACATAGCGCCATTTTTAAGCTCTTTACCGCTTGAGATACAAGGGTGCATTAGCTTTGTGTGGACGTAAGCGACGTACAGGCGGGCTTGAGATAGGATAGATTGATATTATATCAATCGATTCAGAACCACTTTCTCCGAATCGTTTGGGGCTTGTGTGTCCTTCTTGTTTTCTTGTGTTCGACTCCTCCGAGCAGCAATTTGTGAAATATTTTAATGCAATTTGATACACCGACGTACTGAAAATGACCGGGTCGGACCAATTCTTCGTTTTCTTTTGAAAAGTCTTTATGTGGATAACTGAATGGTGATGTATGGTATAACGGGCCGGGTCTTGTTATACTTCAATTTATACTACTTACTAAAATTTTGATCCATGCATGCCTAAATTCTTTGGAAGTAGGAGACAAGTATCATCAGATGACCAGTGGCAAAATTTAGTATAATGTAGTTCTTGAGCTGTAGAAGTCCACAATCGCCACAAATATATTTTATTTAAAATATACATTTTTTTTGATAGAAAAAAGGTAATAAAATTTAGTTTTTTTACTTGCATTTTATTTGACATATAAAAAAATATTTTTAGTTTAAACATAAATGCAATAAATTCAATAAAGTTCATATTCATACGTATTATAGCTAGGAAGGAAGATAGTTCAAACAATGTGAAGACAAGATGTTGTTACGTATACAAATATTTATTATTAAACGCGTGATCATCGTTGGTAAGGTTAGGTGTAAGTAAATGGAAGAGAAGGCAAAAACTAATTTTATGTAATAAAAAATGAATGAAGCACTATAAAATAATAATAACAAAAATAAAAGAAATTAAAAACACGTAAATTTAATATTTCCTTATTTACAAGGGAGGCAATTCATTTTTTTTTTTTTTTTTTTTTTTTATAGAACAGTATTACCGGTGAATAATAAAGCTAAGTCTCTTTTAATTGCTATTAAAACACAAAATAAGAAGATAAAAAATAGAGTAAAGTAAATAGAAGTTCAAATTAAGCAATTATTGAAGAGCAGGTTTTGTTATAGTATTGATTATATGGAGTATTGAAGAGATGGACATTGCGTATTAGATAGATTGGTAGTAGCTGGAAGGAAATGATTAACAAGTTTTAATACTGCAACTTATTGATTATATTTTTGCGTTTGCTATCTAATTTAGATTTAAGGCAGGACGTAGATTGTGTTTTACGTGTAAGCGAACGCAAGCAGCGTTGTTCCGACATGAGAGGGCTTTGATGATTTTTCGCATTTTGTTCCAAAGCTTTGATGGCTTTTCTGGCTTCACGCAATTTACGCAAAAGTATTTCGTTTTTCCCTTTTTCTATAGTCAATTCTTGACTAAGTTGGGCTTTGCTCTTAGATTCCAAAGCATTTAGAATTCTGTTAGAAAATTTAAAAGAATGATTTAAATATAAATTTTGCATTTTTCTTCGTTTGCTGGACTTACGGATGATTAAAAATCGACGTTGAGGAAGGACGTTGTTTCGGATCTGGATGTGTCATGGCCTTAAGGACGTCATTGAATTCTTTACTTAACGAAGTTATATATGGAATATTACCATCTCTTAAATCATGCCATTCGGGCCCGTTTTTAGCCAGAGTCCCTCCTCCGGCAGCTTCAAACAAAGTTAAACCCAAAGCAAATATGTCGGCTTTAAATAAATTAGAGAAATCGTCGTCTAGAATTTCTCTAGGCAAGTAACGGCAATCACCCTCCTCTACACATGGCTCTTTTACTGAAGTAACATGTCCTAAATCGCCAATTTTATAGGTTATTATCCAATCGGTATTGCTTAGCTCTTCATAAATGCCGTCCATCCCTGTTTCATAGCATTCTTTCGTTAACGGTGGCATTGGCGATTTATGCGCTGAAGGCATTTTTGTAAAAAAGATATTTCCTGATTTTAAATCCATGTGAACTAAATCATTGGAATGTATATAACGTAGTCCCTCGGCTACATGTAATAATAATATTTTCAGTTCAGATTCTACCAGCGAACGTTCCTGCAGGAGAGATTGCAAGCTACCGCCATTGCAGTACTCATTTTGTATAAGCATATGGTTATCTTCTGCCCAAGCAGAATAATACCGGACAACATTGTCATGTTTTCCTAACACAGCGTGGGCCCATACTTCATTTAAAGCACGTTTCCTGAGAAGAAACAAGAACATCGTTTAAAAACGAATATTTTTTTCTCTCATTGCCCATACTTACTCAAACGAACTGCCCGCTACCGGTTTAATACTTTTCTTAATTGCGTAAATGCAGCCATCTAAACGATTAAGACACTGATAGACTTTTCCAAACTGCCCAACTCCTATAACAGCTAATTCTAGGAATTCCTTTTTATAACGACTTATATTGGTATCCTGTAGAGCCAATCTTTTAGGAGCCTGATTTATTTCAGGCGTATTTTCACCTTCTGCATCATTCAACATATCGTCATTAGTATTGAGAAATAATTGCAAAGATCGGTTATTGAGATTCTCAATACCTGGCGTGCGGTAACGTTTCTTATTGTGAGCCATCAAACCTATGAGATAATGTATGTTACCATTCTATATATTAAGTTCTGCAATAAAGACGATAAACTTACTATCTGGTGTAAATGGATTTACATTAGCTGTCTGCGGTTGCATGACGTTGTCTAGAGCTCTGTGCAATGGTAACGAGCGTGGCCTCTCTAAGGTTTTCATGAATAGCATTTCTTGCTTTTTCGTAGACTCGGCTGCCGCAACTCCAGACAAATGATTTCCTGAAGATTTTTCCAAAATAGTTTTTGGGGTAGCTGGTGTGTCAAAAAGCCGTAATGCTCGTACTTTACGATAAGGCGGTGATATTGAAGACGCTGAGAGTTTTTTGAGTTTCTCATTTTCTTCAAAACTGTAATCCAATTTTACTCGACTTCGCGTAACTCTACCCAATCGTTCGGCACTGTCCTTATCGTCATCATCTTTATCAGACGACGCAAAGCGTAATTTACGTGGTTGAATTGAGAGCGGAGAAGGTGACTTCATTTCAATGTCTGAAAATGTGCCGGTAGCTTGTGTGCGAAAGGCCATTATAAGAAAAAAGTCGAGTAAAATATCCTTTTTTTTCAATTTTTTACACTTCAATTCCACTCATTTAACACAAAAATTTTTAAAATAATATGACATAAACCAGCAAATTGTCTAAATAAAGCATGAACATAAACTGAAATTAACACAGTGAAGTTTGTTGTAATTTATCGGAATGCGAAAACAGAGTTGTATTTGGAAGGGTTGGCGAATTTGCAATCGAATTTAATTCTTTGAAAATTGTCAATATTGCGATTCTAGTTACAAGTAAAGCTCTACACAATTGCGTTATGCGTTAATTGAACATATAGTTTGCGTTCGTTGCTGAAGACGGCGTTTGCTTACTGTTAGAGAGCTAACGCAATCAGGCGTTGGGACTTTTACGGGAATTTTTACGGGAGCTTTACGGGAATTGAAAAATCGTGTGATTTTGCATGTACACATGCAAATAAAGCAAAAAGAGAAAAAGAAGAAGAAATGATGATCGTTTCTTTTAAATATTAAAATTTATCTTATATTTGTTTATCTTCCGTGATTTGCAAATTGCTTTTTATATCATGCCTTAGAAACAAATGATAAAAAACAAACAATGAAGACATTTTTATTTAGGATTGAAATATTCATCAAATTGATTTATTAGAGAGTAAAAATTGCGAATTTCCAAATTATGGATCATTAATACACAAAAACATATGCAATGTATATATCTACAAATAACTAATCAATCTACTTTATTACTAATCAATAAACAAGCTTTTTTGCTTTTAGATTAATTTTTGACTATTTTTCATGATTTTGACAATACGGTAGTGCGCCTGCCCTTTGTGTTTAAAGCTTGCGAGTTTTTAACCCAAAAAACAAAATGGACGTCTCACTGTGTCAGCGCCCATAGAGAAAAGATGTGCAAAATAAGGGACGAGGGCGAACCACAGAGCAAAACGGAATAAATTCGCTTATGCGGCCACCGTTACACGCTAACCAAGCTTGAAAGTTCATTACAGCATTGGAATGGCCAATGAATCTTGTTAAAACTTTTTTATTGAAATTTTTTATTATTTCCCAACTTTTTTTTTTTTTTTTTCAGTACAAGACATGTTATCAGAAGTGAGAGCATCCCATCAAATGCAACCGGATGGTTCGAAAATTTTCCTTGGCATAGATTCTTCAGGAAAACTTGAAGAGGATACTTGAATTTTTTTCTTTTTTATTCATAGTATAATATTGCAAAAGTGTTGTTTTCAATAAAAAAATTCGCAGAAATGTGTATAGTCCGTATAGTCTAGTGGTTAAGAAACCTTATTTTTTGGCAGTAGCAGTGATTGCTGTTTGTTTGACATGTTGCAGCTTGGGCTTAAAATTAAAAAAATATTATTGTGCTTTTCTTTCTACCTCAATCAGCAACGAAGACATAAAAAAACACTGCAAGCACTTGTACTGTATAAAAATACCGTCAAGCAGTTAAAGTATGTAAAGGCGCAAGTGCGATTATCTTGAAAGTGCATTTTTAAAGTTCCTATATCAAGCCGCATTCGACATTTGAATTGGACTTGTTGATAGCAATTGAATATTAATACCAATAACAACTTAAACTATGACGATGGATTTAGTTGTCGTCTATAGATGTTACCTCCAATTACGTAGTCGTCTTTTGGCACTTTGCTCATTATTAATCTTAAGGATATAGAATCCAGTAGAGTCCATCTAAAATTAAAGATAAAATACACAAGGTCCAATGTCAATTGATTTAAGACTAATTATCTTCGAATTCTCAAAAGCATTACGCGAGTGCAAATGACACCTGCTTGTTGTTGTGGTCATATGTACTTTAGGTGTTCCTGTCTGGGGTATTTATATTTACTAGCTGTTCAACAGCTTAGAAACTTACGTGGAAATATAAAATTACGCGGAGCCCTTGTAGTATAACAACAATTCCTTCGTTTTTCGGTCGGTGAATTTCAGTTACTGAAAGTTCTCCAATCTCTTCAGTCAGTTCGACATCTTCAACCTGAATCGGTTTCCGCATTCCTTTTCCTTTCCTTGTCGTCATTCCTTTCTCCATCAATTTTCGATTCAATAACGCTTATGTCGGGGAAGCTGAAATCGGGGAAGCTTAACTCTGGCGTCACTTTTATTTGAAGCTGAGACGCAATCTTACTTTAGATTGTTTCGCTTGGGGAGAACTTTTCGCATAGGTACAGTGACACTTAACTCAGTTTAATTGAAGCATAATATAAATGCAAAAAATAAGGCAGATATTGGATTAACCGAGAAGCGATAAATTATTTTGATGTTTCTGCGAATCACTAGGGAAAAAGGAAAAGCGCAGTGATATATTTTCCGTTTGAGGAAAATTTTATTACTGACGTGTCGATATGCCAACAATCGTTACTTTTTACTTTTACTTTACTTTCTTTTCATTTATTTAACTCACAAATCTCAAGGCCTACGTGTAGACGACAAATAAGAAAAGAAAATTCTTTTTCTACTCAAGGCTAACTTTTCGAGTAGAGGAAAAAACTTGAAATTACTTTGCGACATATTGTTTAAATTCTGATGGCGATTACGTAGATATCAAGCGGGGAAGACAACAGGAATACTCCGTGCTCACTGGATTTCGGAGAGGAGAGCGAGTTTTTGAGTTCAGGCCTCTAACATTTTGGTAAATAAAAGTTAGTGGGCCCGAAAAAATACCTATTTTTTGAGTGATCCCAAGAAATGAAATCCTTTTTTTAATGATCCAACTGGCCACAATGGTTTGTTTACCAGAATTTCCTTATATTCAGTTGTGACTGACATTTTAATTGACGAGACATGGAGCCAATTTGAAAATGCTTACGCGCTTCAAATTGACAGAAGGGACTTTTACAGCCAGACAACTTTTTATGTGATCCACAGGCGCCAGTCTTGACGCGAATATTGCCTTTCTGGGGGTTAGTGCCGACAAGCAGTAACAATATGGTTTGCAGGTAGCGAGCTTTAATTTGGCGAATATTTGTCTATAAAAATATCTGATAAGTTGAAAACAAATTTGTGGAGCGAATTATCGTTCTGTAAGTTAACTGATGTATATAAAAGAAGTTGCAAAAGCTGCCGATCGACAATATTGAGACGAATTATTTTCAACAAACATTGTAAAGGTTATAAAGCAAGAGAAGAATTATAATCACAAGAGCAAATGTACTATTTGCAGAACTTACGCAAGAACGGTCTTAACAGTATTGATAACAGAATTAGGGGATAATTTAAAACAAATTATTGCCTCAACTGTGTTTTAAGACAGTTAGATTTAATAATAAGAATTTTATTTATAGAGTGTGCCAAATTCTTTGGTAAGAAATATTTCATATCTTTAGTACTCAAAGGCTTTTCGAAAGAACCTAGTGTGCCAATTATAAGTTTTTTAATCAACCGAGCGGCTGCCGCCTAGAGAAATTCGAGGAAAAACCTATATACGGCCATACCAATCATCGAACAAGGAACTAAGGCTTAGCGCAAGCATTGTTAAACAAGAGCGGATGTCTTTTTTTCTTTTTAACTTACTACCACATCGTAAAGGTCAACCCAAAATTTGAAGTTAGGATATCAGGTAAATTTTGACTTTGAATAGTACGAATAATGCTTGTGTTAAAAAGATCAAAATGGTTGTGTTAAAGAGATCAAAAAGGCGAAAAGTATTTCATTGGATTGACAAACTGAAATGCGTAGAAAATGGACTAAAGCACAAAGACTATTTTCCTTCTAAGAATTTTACATATTGCTAATCGAAATCATAAATCGCAGTTCTTATTCTTTTGTTGTTTTATTAACTTTTGTTTGCATGTGGACCACCCGAATTAGAAAAAAAATTTATTGAAACCCACGAATCCATAAAAAATTAATGCTTCGCTTTATTTTTTAAAAACAAATGGTTTAGCGATATTATAAGCAAATGAATTTCTGATTCTTTTTCCTATACAAAATATGCTCGTGCTTATGCTTATTCGGCTATTGTGAAGCTAAAAATAATAATGTATTTGTAATGTAATAATGATTATTATCACGGTTTTCCGTACCGTGATAGGCGCGTTGCCAATTGTTTGAAATTGGCTGGCTCCCCTGTAGGCTTACACCATTATAAACATTCAATTCTACAAAGTCTTTTTCGGATTAACAGCTGAATTAAGTTCGTACCAGTTGAATTTGAAAATTCTTTAGGCACACTTCTATGTTTGAAAATAAATTCGCGATTATAAAAATTCTTAATTTCTTTTATTTTACAAGTTAGCTTAGAATTAAACCGTCATAATTGTTAAACAACGCCCTCGCTAAATTCCCTGTTGAAAGGCAAGGCACAGAGTCGCTTATATTAAATAAATGGTTAAAAGCCCAACTTAACAACTTAAATTTTAATGCCAATCAGCTATGTTAAACGCGCAACTTAACAGACCAGAAGGGTTCAACTCTGTGAATAACGGACCAAATAAGCAAAAGCCGTCGGCAAATCTTTTGTAGCTTTTGGCTACAAATCTGGAGGTAATTTAAAGATATGAGACGTTATACTTGCCCACTGTAGCAACCAAAGAATCGTTAAAATCTTCCATTCATAATAAAATGGAAACAAAATCAAAATTAAAGCGAAGCAAACTAAAACAATGTAGTGTGAGTAACACCAAAGGCATTCAACACTAAAAATTTCATGTTGGCTACTCCCTACATAATTGCACATATTTTGTAAAGTTTGACAACAACTGAAAGTTGTAGAAAATTGCATGCTAGCAACCTTGTCAATCCAAATACTAATAAACCATAATTTTTCCAATATAAGCGCTTATTTGCTACTTCCTTTTAAATTAATTTGCAATATGGTCGAATTAGTTTCAAATATTACTCATATATTTGGGGCAATTAAAAGAAAGAAAAAAATAATAACTTTTCCGAATTTAAACCACATTTTATTTAAATTTCTTTTAAATAAGTTCCACAAACTCCAATGATTAAAAAAAAATGCTGTTATCGTGCTTTTACTCACCATCTGTCTTTTTCTCAAAAAAAAAAAAAAAAATATAATTGCTTTTGCATTTTGAAATTATTTGATGTTTTTCTTAATATGTTTTTTACAATTTTTATTAATTTTTTTCT